CTCTCTTCAACTCGACGGTACCGAGGTATTGAACTGACTATATTCTCACTTTTTATGGCTGTAGAATCCATGTTTTTTCTCTCTTTTCTCCTTTATTTGTCTCCGTGAAAGCCTCTAACCCACTCTGCCCCTCCAGGCTGGTGATACTCTTGGCGAGGTTATGGGCGTTGACAGTGCTGAGCTGTACAAGAACCTGTGCAAGCCCAAGATCAAGGTCGGCGCTGAGTTCGTCACCCAGGGAAGAAACGTTAACCAAGTTAATTACTCCGTTGGCGCTCTAGCCAAGGCCCTGTTCGACCGCCTCTTCAAGTGGATCGTTAAGAAGTGTAACCAGACCCTCGAGACCGGAATGAAGCGTGCCATGTTCATCGGCGTGCTTGATATTGCTGGTTTTGAGATCTTTGACGTAAGCTTTATTGTTTATAGGGTTTGCACTGTGGTAATATGCTGAATATAAGGTGTTGAAAGCTGCAATTAAGGCGTTGCATTTACTATTTTTCACGCAATTTTCTACTCAATATATTAACCTTTTAATGATGTTCCTTCGTACAGTACAACGGCTTCGAGCAGATTTGCATCAACTTCTGTAATGAGAAGCTACAGCAGTTCTTCAACCATCACATGTTTGTGCTGGAGCAGGAGGAATACAAGTCAGAAGGAATTAACTGGCAGTTCGTCGACTTCGGTATGGATCTGCAAGCCTGTATCGAGCTCTTCGAGAAGGTGTGTTCTGGCGGTTGATGTATTCCAATTAAGCATAATGTCTTCGGAATAGCCCTTCATCTGAATGTAATTTCATGAGAAATTCCATTACCAAAATGTAACCCTGTTTATATCGTTGCAGAAACTCGGTCTTCTCGCTATTCTCGAGGAGGAGTCTATGTTCCCTAAGGCTACTGACAAGACGTTTGAGGAGAAGCTGAAGGCCAACCATCTGGGCAAGTCTCCCTGCTTCATCAAGCCCAAGCCTCCCAAGCCAGGCCAGTCTGAGGGTCACTTCGCCATCGTCCACTACGCCGGCACGGTGACTTACAACCTGAGTGGCTGGCTGGAGAAGAACAAGGATCCCCTCAATGACACCGTCGTCGATCAGCTTAAGAAGGCTACCAATCAGTTGCTTGTATTGTGCTTTGCTGACCATCCTGGCCAGTCTGGTGACGCTGGTGGTGGAAAAGGTAGGGTTATTCTTAAAATTTTATGAAGTAATCTCTGCTTAGATTAGACGGTTCTTATACTGTTTCTTTTCCATGTATTCAGATATAATATATCTCTGTTATTTGATACACGTATTTCTTTTTTTCATCAGGCAAGGGAGGCAAGGGTGGCAAGAAGGGGTCCGCTGGTTTCAAGACTGTGTCCTCTGGGTACAGGGTAAGTATATTTTATTTTCTCTGCAGTTTCCTTGAGTCCTGAAAATGCGTCTTTTACAGTGCTTTGAAATATACCGATATCATTTTTCTTAATTATAATCACTCAATATGTCATTATTTTCCTCAGGACCAACTGAACAGCCTCATGACGACCCTGCACTCCACTCACCCCCACTTCATCCGTTGTATTGTGCCCAACGAGACAAAGACACCAGGTATGCGGCCGCCGAATTATTTATTGAAATACATGCAGTATTTACCCCAGTAATCGCTCTAATGTTAAGGAGTAGTCATCTAACGCTTCTGCCATCCCCTTACCAGGTGCGGTTCAGGCCGGTCTTATCATGCACCAACTGACCTGCAACGGTGTGCTCGAGGGCATCCGTATCTGCCGCAAGGGATTCCCCAACAGGATGCCTTACCATGACTTCAAGCACCGGTTAGTCATTCTGTAGATAGTTCATAAGCAATGATTAGTGTTCTTTCACTGAAACATAATAACTATAATGAATGTATTCTCATGGAGATCTGTTCTTCACTAGCTACAAGATCCTCGCCCCTGAAATCATGATCAGTGAGAAGGATGACAAGAAAGCAGCAGAGAAGACATTTGAGAAGGCTGGTCTTGACCCAGAACTTTTCCGCTGTGGTAAAACGAAGGTCAGCATTTAACTTTTTTCCTTTGCCCCATCTCTCACACACACACGCACACATAAAATTATATATGTAAGTATACATATGTATATACCTGAAACATATTATCTATACCTTACAACAGTTTTAATGAAAACCTTTTTGTTTTAATGCACATCACAGGTATTCTTCCGTGCTGGTGTCCTGGGAACCATGGAGGAAATTCGCGATGAGCGTTTGGGCAAAATCATCACCTGGATGCAGTCATGGATCCGCGGAATAATCGGTCGCAAGGAATATGTCAGGCTTCAGGAGCAGCGCGTATCTCTGGTCGTGCTGCAGCGTAATATCAGGAAGTATATGGCCATGAGCAACTGGTCTTGGTTCATCTTCTGGCAGAAGGTGAAGCCTCTTATCAACCAGCCCAGGCTGGAAGACGAGATCAACAGACTCAAGGACAGGGCTGAGAAGGCATGTCAAGACTTGGAGCGCGAATCTTCTCGCAGGAAGGAACTGGAAGACTCCAATACAAGTCTTACTGAGGAGCTCAACGACCTGAAGGTTACCCTTGAATCAACAAAGGGAAATGTGTCCCAGTTCATTGAGGAGATGGCCAAGCTGTCTGCTCAGAAAACTGAGCTGGAATGTCAGTTGAACGTAAGTGAATAATGTTGATAACATTGCTGTATGCGAATTGAAACTGTATACTTAATGTAAATAAGTTTGTTAAATGTTATTATGACTATTGCATGACGTGCTTTCAAATTACAGGACGCAACGATGCGACTCCAAAAAGAGGAAGAGTCTCGAACTCAAATGTTCCAGTCGAAGAGATTAGCTGAACAAGATGTCAACGCCATGAAAAAGGACATTGAAGACTTTGAACTGAATGTCCAGAAGACTGATCAGGACAAGGCAACAAAGGATCACCAGATCCGCACCTTGAACGATGAGATCGCTCACCAAGACGAAATCATCAACAAGATCAACAAGGAAAAGAAGCTCCTACAGGAGATGAACCAGAAAACCGCTGAGGATCTTCAGTCCATTGAAGATAAGGCTAATCATCTTAATAAGGTCAAGTCGAAGCTTGAACAGACACTTGACGAGCTGGAAAGTTCGGTCGATCGCGAGAAGAAGCTTCGTGGAGAAGTTGAAAGATCAAAGAGGAAGGTCGAGGGTGACCTGAAGCTGACCCAAGAGAGCGTATCTGACCTCGAACGTCAATACAAGGATGTAGAACAAAACATCCAGCGCAAAGACAAGGAAATCGGTTCCCTTGCATGCAAACTCGAAGAAGAACAAGGCTTTGTGTCCAAGGTGCAGAAATCCATCAAGGAACTACAGTCTCGCATCGAGGAACT